TGGCAGCCTAGCTTCATCTTGCTGACCTACCTGGTATTGTCTGAACGCTCTCTTGTTTTCTGACCTCTCTCTGAATTCTGAGATATAACTTATAAATAAATAAATAAATAAACTTTTATTCACGACAATGCGAGGCACACCAGTACAGGCATGATCAGGTTTAGCTAACATAGTGTGATCAAAATGTACAAAGAGTACATGTTTGGCATAACAGTGAATGTAAGTGTATGGGTGTATAAATGTATGTAATTGTCTATGAATGTAGCTTGTATTTTTGAAGGTGCCGCAGAATTCTTGACTGTTTGGTATCGGTAGGAATGTGAGAATAACCGATGGATGTCCGTGAGTTGGATACCATTTTCCGGATGTCCACGGCCCAGTGACTTTATTTTGTGGCGCGTCACATCCGCCACGTCACAGTGTTGAGAAGCAGACATTTGTGGCTTTTTATAGGGCGAACGCTTGCCGGGCAAAAACCCACCACGTCCTGGAACACTGCCGCCGAACTATTTGCTGGAATGGATTAAACCCGAACCACCCAGCTGGCACCACGAGGAGGCTGTTCGGCTAGCCATTTACAGCTGACGCAACGCTCTGTTACCGTCACCTTAATTACATCACTAGGCATTATTCATCCTTATTTTATTAACAAGGATGAATCATCACCTGAAGAAGGTCGGTGGCTTTTCCACTTCTCTTCAATAGAACCTGTCCACCGACCCTTTCTTTCCTTCCTGTGCTTTCTGTTGCATTCCTTCTTCATTCGACTCTAACTTACATGCGTCTGCCCTCTCTGACTTCTTACATTCCTACCAATTTAAGACTGAGGCAACACGTCGCTGTCGCTCTTTCTGAGTGATATTCTTTCCCATAGTCTGCACACCTCGTCCTACCCTCTCTGGTATCAACCGATTGAGCATATGCGCACTCGCACCCCTCAAACTCTCTTTTGTTCGTCTTCTTCATTCCTAATTTGAAACAATCTTTCCTTCTCTACTGATCCGTGTTCTGCTTGCTTCTCGTCGTATTTCGCCACTTATGACACACATGTATACGCGATAAGTAAATAACAATTACATGTATAGGGTACAATAGTTCAGTCATCGCCGCAATTGATCGAGCACATTAAGGACGCATCCCCTTCTTCTGTCTTTGTGGCTGTTTCTGTTCGTTTCCTTTTCATCCCGAGTATGCCACACGCACCTAGGGAATAGTCCATCGTTGCGACAAAACCACAAGCCATACAGTTCCATTATCTGGACATCAGCGGAAGATTAGCAACCCTTTTACAACTTACTAACCTGAAAAATCATTCGTTAACAGTCACGGATACAATTTTTCGGAGGCTTGAACATTTGGGTTCAGTTTGCCTAACGCTATCTCTTCCACATTACACTTGCCTGGAGAACTACTTTTGACTTCGAAAGCCACATTCTCCTGCGATACAAAGCCAGAACAATTGGTCACTATGAGCTCTTCAATCCGCGTTGACCGCTCAATTGTCCGTGGTTTCCTATATTTCTAATCAATTTTACTACATACCCCGGGGGATCTGCGATCCTTTCGTGGGAGCCACATTCTATCCTACCGAGAAATAGTTTTTGGCCGGAACAGGACGTAACCCACAAGGACCTACAAAGAACATAGCTGTAAAAGGAATGGATACAAATGCACTCACTACCATGAGCGTTGTCGGGTAACGGTAGCTGGACACGAGGCCTCTACACACCTGAAAAGCATACATAAACCTGAAAAATCCAGACGCAAGAATCTGATGTTTTGCACACCTGGATAAACAAAGATGACTAAGGTCTCACCTTCCATAGGCCTCAGCCATCATGGCCGCCCCGACCAAAGATACCTGATCAGCTAACAGAGGAAAATGGAAGTCAATTGACTGCGGATAACAGAGGGTGAAAAGAGTCGGCGAGCTGCTCTGCCAGTTGTACATTAGTGTGCGAACGGATTTCTGTCAGTGTTCCAGGACGTGGTACGTTTTCGCCTGGCAAGAGTTCTCCCTATAAAAAGCCACAAATGTCCGCTTAACAACACTGCGACGTGGCGGATGTGACTCGCTAGTGAATAAAGTCACTGCCCACAACTACATACTGGCAAGTCGACTAGAATCATTATTTTATAGTTTCCTGACGCGTTCAAGACTAGGACGTTTCCTGTCTGCATGTATCGTTGGCACTACACATGTAGTGCCCTGACTGTTTACATTACTCACGCTAGAACCCAAGATGTCGTCATGCATTGACGACTTTATTCCTCATGATTAATTTTACAATTTCCTACGCCTGCACAACTTTCGGCTTACTGCCGATTACATACATAGCAACGTGTTTGTTGCGAAACATATTTGCATGTAAATCTTGATCACGCCTAGTTTGGTGTGTCTCGACAAAATCGATAATATACTATTTATTTATTTAAATATCTTATATGTACACATTAAGATAGTCTTGTTTAATTT